ATTTGCAGCTTCTACAGACGAAATGCTACACAACAGTAAGAATTCGAAAACCAATCTTCGTACATTGGGCATGTACACACCGCCTTTCAAAACGCAGGCGATACACCCCATATAACACATACAATCGCTACGGATATGGGCAATACAACTGACCACAGAGACCGTATGAAGACACTAGGCCAAGACAACGACCTCAGAGGAGGCACCCTAATCAGGGCCGCCCACCAACTGCTCAGTCCTCTAAGCAACAAATTTGAAGCTGTGATCGAAGGTCTGCAATACCTCCCTCACGATCTAGCAATAACACAACAAGGCCATCTTTTTACCCACCGTTTACGGCCGTTCCTTCCACAATGGGAATCTATAACATCGGACCGCTGGGTTCTAGATATAATTCGAGTTGGCTACACCATCCCATTTACCACTACCCCACCTACCCTTCCCCCTACCCCATCTCTTTTCAGGGACCCCTCTCACGAAACTCTACTAAAACAAGAGATCGATCGACTCCTTTCAATTGGAGACATAGAAAGAGTACCAGTAGAGTTTCACGGGAAAGGATTTTACTCGAACTATTTCTTGATCGAGGAAAAAAACGGGGGGCTGGAGGCCCATATTAGACCTCTGCAAACTGAACAAATTTCTCAGGAAACAACGTTTCACAATGGTCACACTTACAACAATCATTCCTGCGCTAGATCAAGGGGACTGGTTCGCAGCCCTCGACCTGCAAGATGCGTATTTCCATGTAACTATCCATCCTGCCGACAGATGCTATCTACACTTTACGCTCGGCCCAGATCATTTTCAATACAATGTTCTCCCCTTCGGCCTCTCGTCAGCTCTGAGAGTATTTTCAAAGGTACTAGCAGTTGTCGCTGCATACCTCAGACGACAAAAGGTCATTATATTCCCCTACCTAGATGACTGCTTCTTAAAGGGCTCGACACAGGTCGAAACCGCCTCCATGATAAGTACGACCACATCCCTCCTCTATCGTCTAGGTCTTCTAGTCAACGAAAGCAAATCAACACTTCACCCAGTTCAAGATATAGAGTTCATTGGGGCACGCCTGGACTCAATCACAGCTCGAGCATACCTGCCTCGACAACGTTTTATAACTATACAATAAATTATAAGTGTGATGTTTACAACTTCTACCACTACAGTACTTACTTGTCTCTGGCTAATGGGACACATGGCTTCCACCACCTATGTTGTCCACCACTCTCGTCTGCATTTTCAATGCTTCCAACTCTGGATAGCAATTGTGTACATACCGTCACGACACTCCCTCAACAAGACAGTGACTATTCCACCAACCGTTCTTGCATCCTTACAATGGTGGACGGTACCGAACAACCTCCTGGCAGGTGTTCCATTCCAACAAATCGAACCCACTATACAGATTACCACGGATGCTTCCCTCCTTGGTTGGGGAGCACATATGAACGATCAAGGGGTTCAAGGAAGGTGGTCCCCATCCGAGACACGACTACACATCAACCTGTGTCGCAAACTCAATCTTCCACCGATGGGGATGGCCATCTATAGACCTCTTTGCATCTACCCAGAACGCCAAGTGCCCCCAGTTCTGCTCACGCGCAGGACTTGGCAGACATTCCCTGGGGGATGCCTTTCTAATCAAATGGACAGCCCCCCTACACTATGCCTTTCCCCCATACCGCTCATCCCAAGAATCCTACGCAAGATCTGCAGAGACGGAGCCCTAGTCATCCTGATGGCCCCGCCAAACTTGGTACCCGTACCTGCACAAGCTAGCGGTTCACCCTCCTTATCTACTACCAAACCGTGTAGACCTGATATCTCAGAGCAATGGCACGATACTACACCCACAGCTCCATACCCTACACCTTCAGGCTTGGCTGCTCTCTGGTTCTCGGAGATAGAAAATCACTGTTCCCAGCAAGTGAAGGACATCCTCCTGCACAGTAGGAGACAGTCCACTCGAAAAACTTACCTGCAAAAATGGACACATTTCTCTCACTGGTGCCAATGAACCAAAGTAGAACCCCGTGTCGCCCCACTAAATACGATCCTGGACTACATTCTAGGCCTTAAAGTATCAGGACTGTCAATCTCTTCCTTAAGAGTCCATCTTTCTGCAATAGCAGCGTTCCATACCTTGATTGACGGCTTCTCCATATTTGCCCATCCTATCACTAAAAGATTCCTTAAAGGGCTCCACAATGTATACCCACCCTATAAAGCCCCACCACCCTTATGGGACCTAAATCTTGTTCTCCACCACCTCACCAGACCTCCTTTCGAGCCTCTGGCTACAGTACCACTCCCCTTTCTCTTTATGAAAGTCTGCTTCTTTTTAGCTATCACGTCAGACGGGTGAGTGAACTCGGGGCATTAATGTCAGAACCCCCCTACACAGTTTTTACTAAGGACAGGGTCATACTTAGACCTCACCCAACATTCCTGCCAAAGGTCTGTACAGAATTTCATGTCAATGAACCAATTGTACTACCTACCTTTTTCTCAAAACCGCATGCTTCACAGAAGGACGCCACCCTGCGTACTCTGGACATTCGGAGGGCTCTCGCCTTCTTCCTGGAGAGAACAAAACCATTTTGTAAATCCGAAAGGCTTTTTTTATATCCATCGCTGAGCGTTCCAAAGGAACACCTCTATCATCACAACGAATCTCAAGATGGATTTCGTCATGCATAATCAAGTGCCACACCCTGGGCAATAAGCCATTACAGGGCCCACCACGAGCGCATTCCAGTCGAGCCACAGCTGCTTCTATAGCCTTCTTGAACAATGTCCCCTTAAGGGATATTTACCGAGCAGCAACGTGGTCTTCAGACCATACCTTTGCCAGACATTATGCTATCCTACCACAACTTAAACATGACTCAGCAGTAGCTACAGCGGTGCTCTCTACCACCGCTAAACATTGACTCCGGCTTCCTCCAGCCATATATTGAATACTGCTTTGTAGTCACCTAGAGTGGAGCACCCACGGGGACACTACTCGAAGAAGAAAAGGGAGTTACTCACCTCATGCAGTAACAAGTGTTCTTGGAGATGTGTGTCTCCATGGGTGCTCCACGTCCCTCCCTTCCTCCCCTCTGCACGGAGTCTAAATTACTCGGGCGGAGACGAGGAACTGAAAGGGAGGGGGTTGAGCCGTGCACTGCAGAGGGCGGGAAGGGCTCAAGACACCTTCTGAGCATGCGTGGCTCAACAGGGGGGAAACTGCTTTGCAAAGCTCCGATCTGCAGCTCAAGGCGACCCTTCACCTAGAGTGGAGCACCCACGGGGACACACATCTCGAAGAACACTCATTACTGCACGAGGTGAGTAACTCCCTTATAGATGGACAGATGACCCCAGTTGTAGGGGAGGTTAAAATGTCCATGTATTTCTCATTATGCTTCTCCTTTTAAAATGTTCTTCAAATGGAACATCTAAGTATTGTGGATGCAATGGATGTTTATCGTGGTCTCTCCTTTGTCCAGGTGCTCGGATATCAGAAATAATATAGTTTAGTCTTGATTTGGGGGAAGGTGGAGTAGAACTAGACATTAGCATGCTGATGTTGCTGAAGTCTGTATTATCACTTCAGAAGTCCCACAGACATCGTAAATGGGTTGACAAGACTAAACTCTACAGGACTGCCTGGTTTAGAGGGTTTTAATGTCTTTAAACCTCATCGGAAGCAATGTACTTCGTCTGGGTAATACTGAGCAATAACTTATGACTTGGGCTTGGATTGATGGTTTAATTTCCAACCCTTCCTTGTTCAGATTCTGACATTAAACTTACATGTTATTCCTCACACCCCTGCCAATCCAATAACAAAAAAATCTGCATGACCAAGGAATATTAGACAATGGATGTAACAATGTCAGCTGTTACGATCAGTGTAATGGAATAGACTGAGGTGAGGGACAGATACAATCATATGGTCTAGCCTTCTTTCCCCTTCCAGTAAGTTGGAGTCTTTTGTTTCCCTGAGTAAAACACTTTTACAGTAATAATTAAATGACAAATGACTTCTGCTAAAACTTGTTCTTTAAGATGAGTTTTGTGTTGTGCAAGGTGCTGGACTGATGGCTCTGGAGACTGAAATCCTCTAAATACAATGGGAGATTTGCAAAGTTATTTCACAGAGCTATGCTCCTTGCCAGTAAGACCATTCTCCTGATAAGCCACCTACTTCTGAAAATTAAGAGTTTTTTATTCTTGGGCTCCATTCACTTCTTGAGCTTCAGAAGCACTTTTCAGATAGAAATGCAATTGAATGTTGAATTTCATGCAGGCACTAAACAGCCATTATGTAGTAAATAATTTTGCTTAGCACTGTAGAGTTAGATCGGGGTGGGCAATAATTTTAACAGGGAGGGCCACTTAATGTATTCTGGTACATGGTCATGGGCTGGCTCCACTCCTGGAAGGGGTGGAATCTGGGGCGGAAGGGGCAGGACTAGGAGCTATCCTCCCCCCAGAGTTGTTTGGGCTGGAGGCTTTAAGTAAGAAAACAGCAGAGGGCTCACTGCTCCAGGCAGCGCTGCTACTGTGTTGCCTGGCAGCCGCCTGTGGTTGCTGCAACTAATTAAAAGGCTTGCAGCCTAGCCTCTGCCAGAGCAGTGCTACAACTGGGACCTGTGAGCCATTTACATAGCATCCTGCTGCTTGAGCCACTATCTAGAAATTCAGTGACATGGGCAGCAGGCTGTAAATAGAAAGTGGCCATATGCAGTCCATGGGCAGGATCTGGCCCCTGGGCTGCATCCCGTCCAGGTTGTTGAATGGAATTAGTTGTAGAGGTGAAAAACTAAATATTTCTCTATTCCCTGAGCCATCAATTCACTTAATGTCACTTTACAGTGGGTTATTCTAAAATTTTATCAGAATGCATCCTCACTTTTAAAAAAAAAGTTTGAACTTGATGTCAGTACAGTAGATACTGGTCTTTTCAAGGTTGGTACTCTTAATTGAATGTCAGTCTACTGTTTAACCTATACAAAGCAGTATTAACACTGCTTAATAATGTATTAGACATTTAATGCCTGTCAGCTAGTCATTGTAACTTCTTAACATGCTGCAAATCGGTCCTCAGCTTCACAAAGTTCAGTTGTCTATTTTTGGTTAAGAAATAGCACACGTTTGTATTTACAAGAAACTTTTCCATCTTTGTTCCAGTGAGTATCTTTAAGGCCCAACATCAGTCTGTTTAGAGGTAATTTGAACATTTTCCAGTAATGTAATTGTAAAAGTGAAGTTTCTTAGCTCCCTAATCTCTGTTGTTCAGATGGTCCCCTTCCTGACCCAACCATGATTCGTGCCAGTGTGCCTAATCAGATGATGAATCGCATGCAGACACAGCCAGGTAAGTGTCCAGAGAAGGGAAGCTCATGTAGTGACAAATGAATATGGAAAGAATATTGGATTCTGTCTTACCCAATGATTACATGACATCAAGCAGTCCCCACTGGAGTCTAGTAAGATATAGTTTTCTCTACTCTTCCTTGACATTAGTTTAAAATCACCTTCTTCCTAGAAGAATGAGAGCTGTGTTTTGGATTTCAGATGTTAAAATTAACACTATATTGAGAGTGGGAATTGGATGAATGGTTCTACTGATTTTTGGAAGAGGATTTTTCAGACTCTAAAATTAGGATGTATAATGTCTTATAAATCAACATATTAAAATATTAGTAAAACACAACTCACACCTGCAAGCAGGGACATGGACATACAAGTCTTTCAGGGAAGCCCAGTTTGTGTTCTGAAGGAATGTGAAGGAGTTTGGGTCAGCATGTTACACTAAAGACAATACCACCTTTTCAAGGCAAGCTCAAAAACAATTTGTGACCCAGAATCTTTTTATTAGATTTATGTGAATTGCTTTCAAAAAGCTTAAAGTAGCTTAATTAGAGCTTGAAATACATTGTAATATACTCCAAGGTGTGTGTTGATAGAAATAAGATTGAGAGCAGACACAAATATTTGTTCCTATTCAAACATTGAATGATGTCCAAAGAAGAACTGAAACCTTTGTTTTAAAATCTTTTTGGGTTAAACACGCAGCAATGAACCAGTTTGGCCAGATGAACATGCAACTATCACCCATGGGTCCCCGGCAAACTCCTCCTCTTCAGCACCCTGGACAGCTAAGCCAGACTGGGGCCATGAACCAGGTCAGGATGTTTTTCAGTCCAGTATGTTTAACTCTTCAGGTTTGATGTTCTTGTGTAATTATGGTTATCTAAACAGCAATTTGTTCCTTGCTCTGTGGTTCTTTTGTTTCTCCCTTTGCATCTCCATTATGAGTAGACAGCCTTTACTAATCAGTGCAGGAACTGCTAAATTGACTAAGATTGTATGTGCAGTAACATCCTTGAAACCGTGGAATTTATCAAACTAAACTGAAACCTTGAGGCATGATCTAGTCTAAATTCTCTGTTATAAACTAAATTAAGAGGTAGATGTAAAAATATCTTCCTGCTTTTGATCAGAGAATTGGCATATTTGCCGTGCTGCATCATATGAGTGGTTGCCAGGTGTGCCAATTGCTGTGCCATGAAGTGGATGTTACATTGTAGAATTTTATTTTTAAAGGTGGGGAGGTGTATATTATACACTGTGAAATAAGCCTTTCCTTTTTTCTAGCAGATGGGATTTGCTTCACGTATGCAGCAGCCTGGGGTTGGCCAACCTTCCAGCCAAAGTCAGTTTCTGCAACAGAACCAGTTCCCTGCTTCCTCTCCAGGAATGAATGCAACAAACATGCCTATGACCCAGCCTGGCAATCAGACGCCAGTGTCTCAAGTATGTTCTTCTCTTAAGGGAGCAGTTTCATTGGCAGGCTCTGTGAGCTGGTTTTATTTTTTTTAACTGGATAATTAAAGGAATAGAGCATGTTCTTTTGTGCTTTAATATCAGTGAAAACTGATTAATTGTATTGAAATTTTTCTTAGGAGTTGTAGGAAACCTAAACGCTGCAGCATTGGGCATGTGAACAAAAATGTCAGATTGAACAATCCCATTCTGCTCACTAAATGGAATGCAAAAGCCAACCGTATTGATAGTCATACTTTTAAAACTTATAGGCATTAGTACCTCATGTAAAAAGTGGCCACTTGAAGGTAATCCTTTCCCTCCTCACACTTGTTGTCTCAAGTCATTGTATATATCTACTTGTTTTCCCACAGGCACAAATGACCAGCTCTTCCTGTCCTGTGAACTCTCCTGCAATGGCTCCAGGTTCTCAAGGGAGCCATATTCACTGCCCACCTCTTCCACAGCCTACCTTGCACCGAAACTCTCCCTCTCCAGTACCTAGTCGTACCCCAACACCTCACCACACTCCCCCAGGTCTGGGAACCCAGCAGCAGCAGCCGCAGGCAACACCAGCAGCCGCCACCACCATCCCCACCGCCCCTACCCCTACGACAATGCCACCTGGACCGCAGTCACAAACTATGCACCCCCCTCAGAGGCAGACTCCAACGCCTCCACAGGCACAGCTGCCTCAACAAGTCCAACCTCCAGTTCCAGTCACCCCTTCGGCAGAGCAACAGCAGCAGCCCCTGTCACAACAGAGCACGACTGCATCTGTGCCCACCCCAACAGCACCACTGCAGCCTCAGCACCCCACAACACCTGTAAGACAATATTTTTATTTCTATGCTTTCCCCAGGGATACTCAGATGTGAGTCTTTCATACAGGATCTTTGTTTACTTGTCCTGTGTCCAAGACAATGGCGAACAACCTGTTTAAGAGGCATCTGAACCAATATGTGTATGCATTACATTTGAGAAGTATGTTTTTGTGTCTGGAGACCCAGGATCAATAAACTGGACTCTGAAATATCTGATGCTTCCATATTGGAAGTTTTTTTTACAGAATTGTAGTGCACATTAGTAACCTGCTGTGAAATAGCTGTCTCTCATACCTCATTTATTTCCATGCATGTATAGAAGTGGGGTTATACAGTAGGTATTAAATTACTAAAATGCTATGCTGTCCAAAGTAAATGTCAATAGCATGTTTCCTCAAACTAAAATTGTGCAGCAATTTTTTTTCAAGTGGGGGAGGGAATGTGAGATGCAGTTAAACTTGAGGAAAAGTGAAAGCAAATAAAAAGCACATCTTAATGAAGTAGACTTTGCTGCATAATTGCTTGCCTGGTTTTAGTACCTCTGTATTTCCCCCCAGCTTTCACAGCCGACTGTAAGCATTGATGGGCAGGTATCAAACCCACCATCCACCAGTAGTACAGAAGTGAATTCTCAACAGACTATCCCTGAGCAGCAGCAACCACTCTTGCAGGAAGTGAAAATGGATATTAAAATGGAAGAAGAAGGGCCAGAACAAACAGAGCTCCAGATGGAGGAGAAACCAGAGGTAAGAGGGTAGCTAATTTTTTTTCTGGTATGAATTGGCTGGGCAATGTCAAAACTTGGATGGGAGCTGAAGGGGAAATGAGTGCTGTGATTCAGAAGAGGGTGTTCCCTTTAGGGCTCGAAGATAGATGTAGATCCCAGTTGTTGCCATTATTTTAGACCTTCTTAGACATGTTTTTAGCAGTGATAGGTAAGTGCTTAAAATGGGTCTCTAAGTACTGAAGTCCTGAATTTTGCTAACCCTTTGGGAGCTGAGCATGTGCCTGCATCTGTTGTTTTTCCTTTAAAACGTTCCCTGATGTAAGTAGTCACTGTAGGAATAATTCTCTAGAACAGTGAATTGTGCTGCTGTAGGTTTTATCCTTGAGTTGACAAACTAAGGTCCTGATCACTTTTCAATAAAGGAACTTGTGTCCTTCTGGGAAAGTAACTTCACTTTTTGTCTTGCTGGAATAGAAACTACAGTGTGCTCACATTAAAGCTAAAAAGACTGGATCCTAGTGATCTCAGGGAGGTGGGATTCTCTGTCAGTTATATAAGATGTGAGAGAGGGGGAGAGGAGTCAGTCTTCATGATTTAGTATTAAATTAATTACCCCAAAAACTATTTGAATCTTGGCAAAAAGACCGTATGAGGGGAGGAGAGAAGAATGGGCTTGGGTAACAGCCAGGATGACTGAGGAAGGGTCAGTTTTTTTTCATTGGAAGAAGTGGCAGGCATGTTGTAGCTAAGCACAAGACACAGTACCTTACTATATGCTCATAACAAAAGCAAGTGAGGGGCTTATAGTGAATTAAGTGAATGGAATCTGATCTGCTTTTCAGATTAAAGTGGAACCAGGAGCGAAGGAATGTGTAACGGAACCAATGGAGCAAGAAGAGAAGAAACCAGAAGTGAAGCCAGAAATGAAGGAAGAGGAAGAAATACCCAATACTCCAGCTACTCAGTCTTCTCCAGCAGCAGGGCAGTCTAAGAGGAAAAGTAAGCAAGGAAACTGTTGTGGTGTTAGGATTCAGATCTCTAGGGGATTGGGATATCAAGGCAAAAGCTGAACTTTTCATGTTTCTAGTTTGCACATATGAACTTTTCTCTATGTATGTAGCTCTTGGACATAAGAATGAACATTTTAATAATACAGAATTTGTTCTAATGAGCTATGTGCTCAAATGTTATCTGACACTGAATCAGCTATTCAACGCTGTCTCTGTAAAATAAGGATTGGAGCCCATTTCCTGTTAAACTTCTATAGGAAATTATCTCCTTACATAAAAAGGCTGTATTCTGAGTGTGTAAGTTGTCCCTTTAAAGAACTTCTAATGCTTGGCTCCTATAATTCAGGAAGACCCTTTTCTCTTTCAAGTGATTGTCCACATGTACATTCCACTGCAGATGCATGCACCCATTTCCACTTAAGTGGGAAACTTTTGCCAGCTGGCAAGGCAGTTTATGCACTACTGCTGTCTTCATGCTGGGAGTTGAGCGCATAAAAGGGGAATGGCCACTACTTCCATCTTAGTTGTTTCTTGATGCCTGTGGTAAGAGTTGGCACTCCTTGTCATTGTTCAGCTTTGATTTATCCACCATTCAGATTAAACATTCTGTTACATGATTATAGTTAAAATTTATGCTTGGTATATCTTTTTAAGGCCTTTTGTTAGCAGATTTAATGTGGAAAAAAATCTCCAGGATTCAAATAAAGAGGGCTGTGATCACTGTTATGAATAGACACAAAAGCTACCTAATTTGCCTGAGGAGGAAAGTGGGCAGTAACAAAGAAAAAGCAGCTTGTCTCCAGCATGTTACGTGTTACAACCCATTCTGTTAACTAAGTTATCAGGAAATCTCTAAAAGAAAGATCTAAGCTTCCTAGACATGTTAGTGTCCATGGTAGTCCCTTCTCACCAAGCCATTTAGGGCTCCAAAGCCAGTTTTGAAAACTTGATTGAGGACAGCACACCAACTATAACTCATCTCCTACTATTTAGAAAACCCTTACTTCTCTTAAAGTTTTTGGAAAGATTAAGAAGTGGGCTGTGCCCACAAAAGCTCATGATACCATCTGCATGTTTTGTTAGTCTTCAAAGTGCTACTAACTATTTGTTGTTTTTTAAGCAAACAAATGGGAATTCAAAACAGCAAATGAGAGGGATTCATTATCCAGTTCAATTCCTTTCCCTTCCTCAGCCCACCTTTGCTATTCCTCCTTCAGGAAGTAATTTTTTCCAAATTGGGAGACATAACAGGTTCTTACCAATACAGAATGAAAAATTTCTTTTCCCAGGACAGGTTGAACCTTCAAAATCCTGGACTCTGCTCTGGCAACATCCATGGTCCAGTGGGGCCACAGATGTTGCTGGAGCAAAGAGCCCTGGGAGTGGGAGCCAGCTGAGAGAATGCGGGATGGGGGAGTTCCTGCTCCAGCCGAGGAATCCCTGACATCAGCTGGGCCAGCCAGCTGGGGAATCCTGTGCCCAGCCAGGGATCCTCCCCTTTTCCCCTTTGTGGCAGCAGGGCTGGATTGGGCAGCCCCTGCTGCAGAACCCGCAGCTGAAGCAGGGCTGACAGAGGCAGGCGTCCCTAGCTGGGGAACCCCCGGGAGTTCCCAATGAGGCTGGCCCTAGCAGTGGCATAGTGTTGCTGGGTGATCCCGGCCTTGGAATCCACAGCAGCAGTGGGGCTCGTGGTGGCTGGATGGCCCCAGGCAAGGAACAGTGTGTGACAGCTCGGCCGGCAGCGACCAAGCTCTCCTGGCCAGAAACTCCGGAAGAGCTTAGGGCAGTGTGTGGGCAGCAAGATGGGAAGCCCATGTCAGGCCAATTGCAGGGCACGGAGCCCAAGGGAGAGGAGCCCGGGAGTGTAGCAGCCTACGGGAGCACTGACCTCCCCTGGTCCAGCAAATTCCCTGGTTCAGGACAGCTCAGGTCCCTAGGTTGCTGAACCAGGGAGGTTCAACCTGTACTTCCCAACAAGATGTGTTTTGATCCATTCTAGACTTAAAGAAAAAAATTGACTTGTTTTAGTTATCTTTTCATTGGAGATTGGTATGCTGCCTCAGTTTATAGGTTTTTACTTTCATGTGGCAGTATATCCTAGCTACCAAAATTATCTTTGATTTATAGCAGGCAATAAGAACTACCAGTACATGATGATCCCCTTTGGGTTATTGTTTCCCCCACAGGTACCAACTAAGTGCATGTTGGTGGTGGTAGCCCACATACACAAATATTTCCTTACCAGGACAGTGGGCTAGTTCAGGGAAGATCAAGTACTCAGTCCAAAACAGTATTCTCATCATCCGACCTTGGTTCTCTCATCTAGGCTTAAAGCTACATGTAGAGAAAATGGAATAATGACAACACAGTGAATAACCTTATAGGAACGATCCTCTGTGCACCATTATTTATCTCTCCATAGAAAGCTTTCAGTCCATAGTCTGTCCAGCACCTTCAGATTCATCCCAAGGACAACACAGCAATTATCTGCTATTTATGGATCACATGGCCTTGTAAACATATGTGACACTGCATGCTAGATTTCATCTCAGATATCTGCAGGCCTGGTTCACTTGGTGTATCAGCCAAGCAGACATTCACTGGACATGCTTCTTTGCATCTGAATAAGTGCTTTAGTCCTTGGAATGATGGATGAATGAACAGAACGTATGCAAAAGGGTTCCCTTTTTCATACCCGGACTAACTCTTGTAACAGACACATTCACCGAAGGAGGCTTTGCTCCTTTATAAAAGCATTGGTGCTTTAAGGTATTTGTCAGGCCTGCAAGACATTTACACCAACCATTAAGAATCAGGTGGTTCAAGTTCTCATGGACAACACTGCTATATTTTGTCTGAAGAAGTAGAGCTGTGTAGTTATTGAATCAGTTTTTCCAGGAAGCGGTCCATTTGTGGAACATTTATAACATGGGTCTCATTAAAAAGCCTTTCCGTTTCTGGGGGGTGAAGAGTACTCATGGATTTCCTCAACAGGGATTTTATAGACAAGCATAAGTTATCAATAAGAAAAGATTCTGCTCTAGGTCTTCCTCCAGTGAGGTTTAACACTGAGTATCCCTTTTGCAGTCAGTCTGAACAACAAATGCAAATGAATGTGTTTTCACGTTCTGGGGTTTCTAGATTTCTGAGGGATCTTGTTGAAGTGCATCTGCCTGTGTCTGATCCGGTACCTTTATGGTATCTGAATCTTGTACTGTATTGCATAATGGTACCTCCCCTTGAACTCCTAGCAACATCATTTCTTCTGCTGTTCTCAAAGAAATAAAGTTCTTTCTAACAAATTTATGTTAAGAGATTTTCATGGTTTTGGCTACTTCTAGCTGATGCTCCTTTTACAGTTTTCCATAAAGATAGTTTCTCAGGCTGCAGCATAAATTTATGCCTAATGTAGTATCAGTATTCCATCTGAATCAGAATTTTCATCTTCCGGTATCACACTCCGTTAATCTAATTTCTGTCTTCCACAAACACCACTCACTGCGATGCTGGGCTTGTACAATATGTTTGCCTCTTGTATATACAGTGTGTAGGTAGCGTTTTCAACAGCCTTCAAATTTTACAGCAAGTTTCTTGCTTTTGGCCATTATGCCAACTTAACTAGTATTTATTTTTTTTAAAGTTTTCAAACCAGAAGAATTGCGGCAGGCACTTATGCCAACATTGGAGGCACTTTACCGGCAGGATCCTGAGTCCCTTCCTTTCAGACAGCCTGTGGATCCCCAACTACTGGGAATTCCTGTAAGTTTTTTATTATCAAGCTGTTTCCACACTTTCTAATTCATAGCTACTACACCTGGACTTGCCTGCAAGACCAGATGGCATGCTGTAGTCCTTTCTCCATTTTTATATAGATAGATGGGCAGAGCTTGGATTTGGGATTTGCATGTACCACATCAGTGGCACAGATAAATTTATGTTTAAGGTTTGTTTTTCTGTTTTATGTTAAAAGAGAAAATGGTTGGGAAATTGGAAAGACATCAGATTATTCTTATTGACAGAACCCTTAAGTGTACTAGTTTTTGTTGGGCATTTGTGTGCTATCTTATTTTTGCAATGTGACAGAATACTGCAAAACTGCATTTTCTGGGGCTTTTTGCAGCACGTGGTATCAAAACACTGTGATTTAATTATTAACCAGTTAGGGGTGGTGGTGGTAAGTTTTCAACTTTCACTAAGTTATTTATTATATAACATTAGCACTTTTACTTGACATTGCTCAGATCCTTAAGGAAGGGCTCAGGGCAGGGTGTGGGTGTGTATGTAGGGTGGTGAGTGGGGAGATTTGTACCAGGGCTCCTTGCTCTTCTCGTTCCCTGACCGACAGGAAAGAGAGCAAAGTGCATGGTTTCTCTGCACCCTGCACTGCCCAGTCAGTGAGGAATGCAGCAAACTGTGCACTTTTCCCTTTGCTCTGTGATGAAGGGAATACCAGCAATGTCCCTGTAGGAATCTGAGGGATTCATCCCACCCCAATCCCCCACTGCTGTCCCGAAAGGGCACCTTGGAATGGGGAAGTAGGGGAGGAAGGAGGCAGTCCCAGACAGAGACAGAAGGGTGGGCAGCCAGCCTTTACCTGCCTGGGGATTCATTTTTCTGTATTGTTTTGAGAAGCAACCCTATTCCAGGCATATCCCATTATCCTGGCACAACTAAACCCTTATGTTGCTAAGAGGAAGCAGTATACTGGATTTGGTAGTGCTGGCTCTTACCATTTAGGACAGTGGTGCGCAACCCGTGGGTCGCGACCTCCAAGGGGATCGTGGATGTCTTCCCAGGGGGTCACAGCGCTTAGATCCGGCCTGCAACAAGGCCCGACCGTTGGCAGCCGTGTGGAGCTTAGATTCGGCTGGGCGCTGCCGCAGGGCACTTAGATCCGGCCGGCCAGTGGCTAGGCCCGACAGTTGGCCGTCCCCGCAGAGCGGGGGGCACAAATCAAGAAATGTTGCGCACCATTGGTTTAGGAGGCATTCTTAAACAGACACTCTCAAATATGTAATCAACTAAACATTTTCCTTGTCATTCTTTTTAAATATAAAGGATACTATAATAAATTAAACTATTGCTTCATGGGGTTACAACTCATGACAGCACCCTTATTTGGGTGGGTTGGTCCACAATTTCTGCAAAGTTCTGTGAAATAGGTACAGTCATCATCCTACTTCGGGATTCTATTACATATTATACTTTCAGAGCAATACTAAATTATATAATTGAATATCAAACTAGATTTACAATGAAAATATATAATAGAATAAGAGTGATTGTAAATGTGGGCTTCTTGTCTTGGTGGCAATCTTAGTTCTTGTTGACCAATAGGAAAGTGGCTTTATTTGGTCAAGGTTGAAAGGGAAAAGTTAGTGTTCAAGAAATGTGAAAATAATGGAGGAAAGGCCCTGCATGAGAGAGGTGGTGGTGTTGAGAGAGCATTGTATGTCACAAGCAGTCCATGTTGGCATTACTCAGCTCTTTTGTTCTATGATTGGTACTGCTAATACTTGCAAAAGTATTGAAGAAGAATCTAAAGTACACACATGCTATCACCTTGTAATTCATTTTCTCTGAACTCATTGAAATGCTGCCCATTCTTGCAGGATTACTTTGATATAGTAAAGAACCCCATGGACCTCTCCACCATCAAGAGGAAGCTAGACACAGGACAGTACCAGGAGCCTTGGCAATATGTGGATGATATCTGGCTCATGTTCAACAATGCCTGGCTCTATAACCGCAAGACATCCCGCGTGTATAAGTACTGCTCCAGGCTGGCAGAGGTGTTTGAACAAGAAATTGATCCAGTTATGCAGAGCCTTGGTTATTGCTGTGGAAGAAAGGTAAGGAAGGGCAGCTTCATCTCCATATGTAGTATATGATATGAACAAGCTTAGCAGCAGCAGTCAGTAGGAGCTGTAGGATGTTCAGAACTTCTGAAAATCAAGCCACTAACTTAGATATTCAAGAGCAAATAAAATTAGTGGTTATGTGGCTTTAAAAAAAAAAAAAAAAAAGGCAAGCAAGGCAGTTGCTCCTGCTCAGGCTCTGAGACTACCC